AAAGAAAGAAAAGAAAAAGACAATTACTAGTTTTAAATACTTTACATTGGATTGGACTGTTTTATATTGTATACAAAATTGAGATTGATATTGTTAGAAAATGCTATATGTATATTTCTAATTGTATTTATACCATTCATTTAACAATGTAATACAATGTTCTGATCCTTGAATGTTATTATTACCAACTATTTGGATATAAAGAAATGAAACTTAGTAGTTAGATATTACAATAGAACTTGTAGCAATGTTAGTATGTTTTCAAAATTAAGCAGATATATTTTAGATAGACAAGTCATCTTCAAACACTTCAGAGATCTACAGAATATGGCATTTAAAATGTTTTAATAACTTAGAAAATTTTTCTTTTTTGAGACATGTCGGCTCCTGGCAGTACCAATCTACTTCAGAGAAAATATGGGCATTGAAGAAACTGCATATGGAGTCCACTTTCATTGTGGCAAATGTTAGCCACAATGGGAAATGAGGATACTTGACAACAAAGTATCCTCAAATCAACAGGACAGAATTGACAGACAGAACATGAAACAAAGGACTACCGATTCTTGCCAAAACAAGTGTGGTTATGGCTTTATCAAAAGACATCTTCTGAGGCCAGGACAATTTGACCCCATCCCTGAAGTGGCCTTCGCAATCCAGAAAAGGTACAGTGCCCTTTTCTTCGAAGGCAGCTGAACAGGCAGTGGGTCATGGCTTCTGTTGTGCAATGGAACAGCAGCTGAAAGCTCATGCCTCTCGATAGTAGACTGGCATTTAATAGAGGGACGTGGAGAAGAAGGGGATGCTGAGATGAAGCCATATATACACAGCCAAGAAGAATGGACAGCTGAAATAAAAAACCGTCAACATTTTACAGAATTTAAAATCCTGAACCATGACAGGACACTAGTGGAATTCAGATGTTTCTGGTACATGGACTGCTTTCACCCAATGTGAGGTTGAACTGTTGACCTTGTGTATATCCTACTTCACAAATGAGTCTATCAGATACGCTAAGCCTATAGGCTGAAGATGATGCCCCTACACTTCGGAGAAACCTCAGATGACTTTCCAGGCAACTGGCTGTTTCTGTCAACTTACAAATTTATTGGAAGTTGCTTGCATGTACTTCCTGTTTTTATTTTTGTTATCTAATATTATTTCCTTCTTGGGTCTCTGAGGGAGTTGAAGATTAGTTAGTTATAGTTGAAGGTTAGTTATAGTTGAAGATTAACTAGGATAGAAAATGAATTAGATACATTTTGGACTTACCAAAATAGGATAAATAATGGAATTATTTTCTCTGATTTGTCAAATACAAATGGACTAGACATTGTTTAGGTATTTATTACTTGTATATATTGTATATAGTTATTGTACTTTTGTATATAGTTTTTCTTATGTTAGTTATAACCTTTTGCTTTATTTCTTTTTATTAAAATAGAAAAGGGGAAATGTGATGGTATTCTAATTGTACTGAAATGTGATTTTGATTGTATGTTAATAAATAAAGTTGCCTGGGGGTCAGAGCTATTAGAGCCATAGCAAGAGTGTGGCGGTCGTGGCACATGCCTTTAATCCCAGCACTTGGTAGAAGAGCTAGGTAGATCTCTGTGTGTTCAGGGATACAGCCAGCATTGGAGACATATGCCTTTAAGACCTGGGGGGCTGTACATACAGACAGTGATGAGGTAGTCTCATATTTGGGTTTACAACCAATGAGAAGGCAGAACAAAAAGACTATGAAAAGACATACACACAGGAAGTAGCTCTCTTTCGGGAAGCTAGGTGTACACAGGAGGAAGGGTAAGATTTTAGCCTTGAGCTCTGACCTCTCATCTTTCTCTTTTTCATTGGTTCTGTGTTTCTTATTCAATAAGACGGTTGGTTACATCTACATTCTCCTGTAGAAACAAAAGCAAAACCTCATCCCCAATGTAACACATATCCTGGTTTCCATTCTGAAGTCAGCACATCCTTAAAGTATATAGGCTGATTTAATTCTGTAGTTTTTTTCTGTTATCCAATGTCTCTCTGCAGCCGTTGTTCCTTTCTCATTGGCACTGAGAAAATTCAAAGTTAATAGAGCATTATGCAGTCTATTTCTGGGGGGTTTTGTTACCCCTTTCTGTTTATTTAGCATATCATTTAGAGTTCTGTTTGATCTTTCTATAACTGCTTGACCTGTTGGGTTATATGGTATACCCGTAATATGCTTTATATTGTAATAAGCAAAAAACTGTTTCATTTTAACAGAGACATATGATGGAGCATTGTCAGTTTTTCATTTGTGCAGGTATGCCCATGATGGCCATTAACTTCTAGCAAATGAGTATGGTGGTATTGTGTTCCCCAAAATATTGTACACCCTAATAACCTTATCTGGGGTCAGAGACAGTAGAAAGGCTAGAAAATGGTGGCACTCACACCTTTAATCCTAGCACTCCAGAGGTAGAAATCCCTCTGTGAGTTCAAGGCTGTGGGCCCTGGTCCCCCCACTGAGTGGCTGCCACCTTGCTTGCTGACCTTGACCAGATATCTTCCCTATGCTGATTCCCTGCTGGTTTCCTTCTTACTGAATGTTCACTGGAGGTTCTTTGTTTGTGTATATGTATCTTGCATTTGGTGTAAACAGCTTAGATGCAAGAATGTAGAATTTTCGGTAGCGAACTTCTACCCTCCGAGTTTCCTCCATTGTGCTGTAAGCCTGTATTTAAGGTTTCCTCCCTCTTTCAATAAACGGCATTTGGCATTCGGCATTCTGCTGTGGCGAATGACTCAATGCCTCTTGTCTCATTTTTTAATCCATAGCGCCCCCCCCCCCTGCTCAAACATGGTGAATGGATGGTAGTAGTGCAGGCAATACCACAACAAATGGAGGTCCCACTGAGATCCGAGAAAGAAGGGAAAAGCTGATGGATATTCTTGGAAGGCTCTCAGTAATTTAAAGAAAAAAGAAAAAGGTAAGAGGGAATTGTCATGGGTGCAAATAGGGCACCACTGTGGTTAAGAAAGGGCAAGACAGCTAAAGAGTTTAAATAAAAAAGGAAATCTTCCCAATATAGAAGAGGGAAGGAAAGGAAATTTCCCATTAGAAAATCGAGAAAAAAATTTAATCAAGAAAAAAGGATTTTCCCGGTAAAACGGGGAAAAATTTTGAAACTAGGCCTAAAGATTGGGACCCTGTAGAGGAAGGATGAACAAAAGAGAGAAGCCTCTTCCCAGTGGTAATGGAGGAAGAAAGGACTCTTTCCAATTGAAAGATCAGTTTCAGGATAGCTGAAACTCTGAGCTCTTTCTTCCTGCCAGTGCAGAGCAGCAGCATCTGAATTACAAAGAGTCGCCAGGTAGGCCTCATTGCTGCTGGTTAAATAGCAAGTGAGCTCAGAGGTTAAAAGTTTTGCTGTCTGTTTGCTTATTTTGGTTTAAATTTTTCCCTCAGAGTGGGAATAATTCCATATTTAGGATCCCTTCATGGGAAATGTTTTTCTGTTTTCCCCTGATGGTGGGAATAACTCATTATTAGGTAGTCCCTTCATGGGAGTAGAAAGTTTAAATGTGAGTTTGAGTTTGTGTGTTTGAGTATGCTGAGCTGTGGTGGTGGCAGTGGACAAAGTCATGCACGAGATAGCCCAGAGCAGCAGGTGGACAGGTCCTCGCTGGTGGGAGGCAGAGCTGCGATGGAGCATGGCCTGGGCAGCTGCCAACAATAGAGCCCAAGCACTGGGTGGAGCCAAAGCTAACGCCACAGCCTCAGCCAAGTAAGCAGAGGCCAGGAAGGGACTAGAGCTAAAAATTTAAATGGGCCCAACTTCTGGTAAAAAATGGTTTTGGTCAGGACATGGAATGCTAAGTCAATAATGTTTAAATAAAGGATGTTCTGTTCTTTTGATTATCTTAATAAATGTTTGGAATTTCATGGTAGATAAACTAAAGAAACAGGATTTATTATTTTGAACTATATATTAGGTATGCTCTTGTCTGTTGATCATTACTGAAAATTTGGCTCTGCAATTTAAGTTGCTTTCTAGAAATTCTTGGTTTAATTCTATAAAAATATAACACCTAAAATGGATTGGGTTGTTAGCTTATTAAATAATGTTGCTAAGATAAACCCATAAATAATAATCTCTTACTGATAAAGAGGTTACAAAATTATTTTTCCAGTAAATAAAATACAGGTAAATTGTTTGGTCCACATTGTTAATAATTGGCGATTTACATTAATGTATTATTTGAAATCTATAAGAAAGGATCTCTTTATAACATTTTATAAAAATACTCATAAATATTACCTAAAGTTACCTCTCAAATCCTATAGAGATCGAATTTAATGCTTTTATAATTGGCATATGCAAAAAGGACCATGGAAACAAAAGCTGGTGATAGAATTGCTCAATTATTATTGCTTTCATATTTTAAATACAAAATGCCACCTATATGTAGAACTGGAGGCCTTGGAGGTACAGGAAAACAGGTGTTTTGACAAACAGTTATCAATGATAAGCAGTCTAAATTAGAAATAAAATTATATGGGATTGAGATTGAAAGATTATTGGATTCTGGTGCTGGATATATCCATACTTTCACAAGAATCCTGAGATCCCAACTGGCCTCTACTAAAAGTCAGAAAAATGGAGACTTTTATAAGATCTTAGAGCTTTAAATAAAAACATGCTTCTCATGGGAAGACTGGCTTGCCTGCCCCTGTGGCAATTCCTAAACATTGGCATTTAATTATGATTGACTTGTATTTTATTGGCTGCTAAAGATTAAAACTTGTTTTTTGATGCCTTTTCTAAATTACGAGAGGTTCTTAGCCTGGTTAACTTACAAATAGCCCCCCCCAAAAGGTACAGATATCTTTTCTCTATCATTATTTAGGTCATGAATATTTGGTTTTTCTCATTCACCTACTGGAGTGTTTTGACAAACAGGTCCTATTCTATGGGTACATTCCCCAGCTTCTCCAGCAAAAACCATTACTCCTTATCCTCAGGCTGTTGCTCAGATTATATTTAAGGGAATCAAGATCAGTGTTCAAACCTTTAGAAAGATGACCCCATATACCCAGTCTCAAATAACATGGTTACAAGCTAATGATAATGATTGGACCATATTGACATGCTCCATACAGGGTTGGTTTGATACTCACTACCCCTCTAATGATGTGTGTCAATTTTTTAAATTGAATCCTGTTATATTTCCCAAGATAGTAGAGATGACTCCTATTCCTCAGGCCTGTGTGGTATTTACTGATGGCACTTCACGTGGTTTTGCTGTGGTGGTTTCTGGCAATATAATGAAGAGAATGAAAGTCCAGGACACTTCTGCCCAGATGACAGAGGTACAGACACTGTTGCATTAGATGTTTTCTGATGAGGGTGTAAATATTTATACTGATAGTCAATATGTGGCACATGCTATTATGGCTTTGTAGACAACAGCCTACATACCATCCATTTCTCCCATTCACAAATATTTATTACAAGTACAAGGACTCATATGGTCCTGCTCACATAACCTTTATGTGGGCCATATTAGAGCTCATACCCAATTGCCTGGACCTCTAAGCAAAGGTAATCAGAGGGCTGATGCCATTACCCGTATGGCTGTCACATTAATTTTGTTCTGCCTTTAAAAAGGCTACTCAGTTACATCAACGTTATCATCTTAATGCTGGATCTCTTCGTCATCATATGGACATAACCTGAAAACAAGCCATCCAGATAGTTAAATCATGTCCTATTTGTGCTGAATTTTTACTTGTTCTTCATTGAGGAATTAATCCCGAAGACTTTTACCTAATCATGTGTGGCAGATGAATGTCACACACGTGCCTTCCTTTGGAAAATTACAATATGTCCATGTATCTATTGATACATACATATTCTTCTCTAATTTTTGCTTCTGACCACTCAGGAAAAAAGGTTAAAGATGTAAAAAAATCATTGTCTTCATGCCTTTGCTTATATGGGAGTACCAAAATGCATAAAGACTGATAATGGTCCTGCCTACAGCAGTACAGGATTTTCAAAATTCTGCCAAGACTTTTCTATTGTTAATAAGACTGGTATTCCTTATAATCCTCAAGGACAGGCTATAGTAGAAAGCTGCCATCATACCTTAAAAACATATTTTGCTAAAGTAAAAAGGGGGGAGCTAGGGGCTCATCTCTCCTCTCCACATTCTATTCTTTCCCTTGTTTTATATATTTTAAATTTTTTATCGGTGGAACCTGCTGGAGTATCTGCTGCAGATAAGCACTGGAGGGCTCCTGTTGCAAATCATCCTCTGGTGCGATGGAAGGATCTTTCTACTGGCACTTGGAGGGGACCGGATCCGGTGTTGGTGTGGGCCCAGCGATCTGTTTGTGTCTTTCTGCAGTACAATGAGGTTCCTTTTTGGGTTCCTGAGTGCTGTGTGCACCCTGTGGCTGCTGCTGAATCCCAACATGACAGAGACCTATTGGGCCTTTGTGAAAAACTCTCCCCTTCTGATGCCAATGGGGATTGAGAGCCCAATATGGCTAGCCTTGGCAAACATTAATGTAAGTCTTGAAACTGTAGCCATGTGGTTGGATTCTTCAGAAGGTAATATATGGTAACTTTTTTCAAAAATGTTGAGAATGTGTCACCCAGACACCTTGGAGATTAAGGATAACTCTGAAGGTCACTGACCTTCATTTGTTAACAATAGCATGCCAGCTAAACCTTTTTCATTTTCACAATTCTCTTCAAGCTGATGTAGTACCTACCTTTTCAGGAGTGGCTCTGTGCAACTTCTATTGGCCTCCTGAAATTCATCTAGCCTCCTTTGAAGATACCTTAAAATTTGTGAGCCTGAATGTAGCCATTATGAGACCATTAGTTCTGCTCCTTGTTTTTTGTCTGTTTTTCTTTATGGTTCTCAGTTTTTTTTTCCAGAGCTGCCAGCTTAAGTCATGCTGGGATCAAGAAAAATGGGCCTTGGTGGTTCATGTTCCTGATGTTCCTGGAGCTGTGTCCATGCCAGTGGGCCATGGCAGTTAGACACAGATGCTGCTCACACGTTCCAGAAGAGAATCTGACATCGCTGTTGCCATTGTTGCTGTTATAGCAGTGGTGGCCACTGCTGCTACTGTTTCTGGGATTGCTATTTCATAATTGGTTACTACAGCTAGCACAATGGAGACCCTGGCTGCAAAAGTAGCTACCACATTCTTTTGGGCATAATAAATTTAATTATACAATTATACATTTGAATTGGCTTTGAAAGTTGTAAAATTTATAAAACTCAAGTTCCACTTGCCTATGGGATACCACCTTACAAGGACTCCAATTTGCAGTAAGGCTCATTAAATGAAGGAATGGCTCAATTGCCTTTAGTCTCCTGGCTATGGGTGGGTTAGGACTTCTGTTGGTCTTTTCTGTGTTGCACAGATTGCAAGCCCAGTGCCTCTTTGAGATCTTTGGCAGCAGTTAACTCTACAGCTCACGTGGTTGAGTCTGTATGATAATGAGATTCAAAGATGGGTAATGTTTGGGGGGTGCTAACCAACCTAAGACAGAATACTTGTGTGGCCTGGGCAGGTGTCTCCTTGATGGGTAAGGTGACCTGCTGATGTCCCATGCAACCTAAGTCAAAAGCTCATTTTCTAGTAAAAAGGGGGGACCTGTGGGCCCTGGCCCCCCACTGTGAGTGGCTGCCGCCTTGCTTGCTGACCTTGGCCAGATATCTTCCCTATGCTGATTCCCTGCTGGTTTCCTTTTTACTGAATGATCACTGGAGGTTCTTTGTTCATGCATCCTGCATTTGGTATAAACAGCTTAGATGCAAGAATGTAGAATTTTTGGTAGCGAACTTCTACCCTCCGGTGTTCCTTCATTGTGCTGTAAGCCTGTATTTAAGGTTTCCTCCCTCTTTCAATAAACGGCATTTGGCATTCTGCTATGGCGAATGACTCACTGCCTCTTGTCTTTTATTTTTTAATCTACAGCCCCTTGCTCGGACTTGGTGAATGGATGGTGGTAGCACAGGCACTACCACAACACAAGGCCACATTGGAAATGGCCAAGCATGGTGACACACACCTTTAATCCCAGAAAGTGAGCTTTTAATCCCAGGGAGTGGTGGTAGAAAGCAAAAAGG